CATATAAATTCCACAGGAATTATATTCAATCATTTTTTAACATGATGCTGCGCATTGAAAGTTAAGTTTTGACGTTATCACATTTGTCCGAGTTCCGCCTCAAAATAAATTATATTTATATCGATCTATTTCTTTCGTAATGTGTTTCTGATTACCATTCGCCAAACTGGCTGACCGCCGGGCTGCACGTCATCCTTTTATGGATATTCCTGACTAAAATAGGATAATCATTTAATTAGCGAATATTTCGGTCTGCTCGTATCAAACGCCATCATGGCGGCTAGAACGTACGGGAGCAGTCATGGCGGGAAATGATGCGAGAGCGTAATTGTTATAAATTGTATGTCAGTCGATGCTCTGGTGTCGTCGTAATAATATTGGTTAGCTTATCTATAACGAGAACAGTAATAAAGAAAATGAATATTTACGAAAATATGCGCAGAAATAAGCGATATATTTCAATAAACCTGAAAACTGTACGATATTTGACATATCAGCGGAATGTGGCCTTGTGATTTGTGGTTGAGGGAGTTGTGTACATCCAGGCGGTGCTAATTATCAGTTTTCTGCTCGGAAGCATATCCTCTTTGTTCATTTATATTTCATGGGAGACAAATTGTAATATAACAGGAACGAATGAATCATAGTGGACGATTTAGGAACAGGGAAAGATATCTCAATAAAAATAAAAAATAAAATACTAAGGGAGAAATTAAATTAGAAAATCTTCTAAAATGCTATGCGATACCTCCCGTATTTATGGCTTTGCGATCAAGAATATATCAATACGTGAAACAAAAGAAATACGCAATATGAGATATCTTTACTGATTAATATTGATTCATTTGGGGGTTTTACGACTTATTAATTTTTTTTAGGTGATTCAAAGCCAGAAATTATTTTCAAGCAGCACACGTAATTTTTAAACAATAATGATTGATGCATAAAAGTCTTACTAATTAACCCATAGCAGGGGGACTAAAAGAGGTGGATTCATATCTTTCCAAAGGGTATATACGCGTAATCAAATATAACCAACCGGACTGGAAATGGAAATCAGTTCTCCGAATTTCCATTCCGAGTCCTTATTCATTACACCTCCCGCACATCCAAGATTAAAGCACCTGGTATTTCTAAACGGTCACCCATCTAGTTACTGAACAGTCTCTGTGTTGCTTAAGTCGGCACTCTGATTAACAATATCGAATAATTATTCATTACGCCACCCGCACATCCAAGCTTACAACATGTAGTATATCCAAAGTGTAACACATCTAGGTACAGATGCTGATTAACTACGTTTACCGAATAAGGACAGAGGAAAGAAATAACTTGCTCTCATAGATAGCAGAATGAGTAACATATATATATATATATATATATATATATATATATATATATATATATATATATATATATATATATATATATATAATAGTAAAGGTATATAATCGGGTGTTCTTATAGATATTTTCATTTTTATAAAATTGTGCTCAACGTAAATTTACAGAGCATTGATATTATAAATTAATTGATATAAAACATTGTTTTTTTCGCTACACAGTTCTAACCATGTTTCGAAAATGGAAGCTAAAAGCTTCGAATTTAATTTTGCAATTAAATTAAAGACATTAGTTCCATTTCATACTCAAGCTAATTTTAGAGTAACTCATTTTTAAAATTACTGAAAAATTCATAAATCACGGATATTCCAAGGATACAGAGAAATCCATTCATCCAGACAAGGGGTGGTTGCGTGTTCATTATCTCTGTATTTTGATGTATCAGTTATTAGTTACGTTTGAAGAAGGGTTTTGGTTTAGGTAGGGGTAGGGATGTATTTTTCAACGAATTCTGACATCCGTTAAATGCATATCATCTGGATAAAAAAATATTGTTAACGGCAAAAATTCTTACGGCTATTTTTTCTATTTGTATACTTAAAGATTTTTGGGGATTGTTTAGGTTAGAATACGTTTTATTTAACTACGATTTAAAAAAAACATTTTCATTTTTAATTTTTAATATACTATATTTCTTTTTGAAACAAGTAAATGTATTAGAATTACTTACAGAATGTAAAATTATTTTCACATCAAGTATAAGTATGTATAATACCTGGTCACAATTTAAAAAAAAATATATATATTTAAATATTATTTAAGTAAAATTTATGACAATGACGACAAAAATAGCTAATTCATTTCTCTGATTTAGTAAACTTTTATTTTTTTATAAACTTAGTATTATATAGTTGCTCATGTAAGTACAACGGACATAGGTCATTTAATGGCTTGCACCTTCTAGCTTTTCATATTAATTTCATTTTACTGTAGGTGTTTTATTGGATTCTTTTAAGTGCTTGTAGTACTTTGAGAGAGGTGTTTAGGTTAGAATACGTTTTATTTAACTACACTTTTAAAATATGTTTAGGTTAGAATTCGTTTTATTTAACTACAATTTTAAATACAACTTTAAAATATTTTCACTGTTAATTTTAATAGACTATATTTCTTTTTAAAATAAGTAAATGTATTAGAATTACTTACAGTAAGTAAAATTATTTTTCTATGTCAAGTATAAGTATGTATATTACCAGTTCACAATTTTTAAAATTTTATATTTAAATATTATTTAAGTAAAATTTATGTCAAAAACGGCAAAAAATAGCTAATTAATTTCTCTGATTTAATAAACTTTATTTTTTATAAACTTAGTAATATATATTTTAAATCAATTAATTTATAATATATATATATATATATATATATATATATATATATATATATATATATGGTGCGATGGTTAAATTGTCGGTATTATATATTTTTAATTTCGCGCATACGACTAGTTGTATTTGATTTTGTCGACTACATACTATAATAGGCTCAGTTGGGAGCCGGCTGTGAGAAAAAGAGCACTATGACGCAATTCACAAAGCGGTAAATTTGGAAACGACGTGCTATACTGCTTGGCATTCGCGCCGGAATCTCGAGTAGGAATTATCAATGGACTCACCCAACTTTTTCCAAATCCTCTGCACTATACTCAGATTGACACCCTAATACCCTAAAATATGCGTATTCGAGCTTCCGGTGCAAATGCCAAGCAGAGCATGCTGTTTCCAAATTTCTGGCGGAGTAAATAGCGTCATGGGGTTCTTTTCTCACTGACTGTGCCCAACTGACCCTTCTATACTGCCCAGCTGACAAAATAGACAAAAGCAATATATATATATATATATATATATATATATATATATATATATATATATATATATATATATATATATATGTGTGTGTGTGTGTGTGTGTGTGTGTGTGTACACACAAATATATATATATATATACACACACACACACACACACACACACACACACACACACACACACACACACATATATATATATATATATATATATATATATATATATATATATATAGTGAAAATTGTGTATATTAAAAAGAAGAGAGTATCCGCAGACATTTGGGACACTAACACACGAAAAAGACAAAGTCTCATATCGAGAACAGTTAACAGCGAAAAACATAACGGGAAAAATTAATTATATTTATTAATATGTGGAAATCTCCACTCTTTGCCTGATGAAGGTCGCGAGACCGCAAACGCGTGTAGCAAAATTATGGAAAATAAAGCATAATATTTTTTTTAAAATTACACATTACAACCAAAAACGTTTGCGGTTTCTCTCTTTTTTTTATATATATATATATATATATATATATATATATATATATATATATATATATATATATAAACAAATATTTAGAGGTACAACATTATAAGATAGATAAAATATGCTATCTTCCCCCATGAATATGGAATCGGCTATTGCTCAACACTTAGTTGAGAATATAGCCTGTGCCAAGTCGTATAAAAGGGAGTGCTTTAAAATTATTCATACATCCGATTCCAACAATCATTGGAAGATTATGGAATCGGTCTGCATAGGATTAAGGGAACCTTCTCTCTGCCGGCAGAAAGAATTTGTAAAGTCTCTTAATCTGTTGGGGGATATTTTAACTGTCCCTCGCTAATTTTATTTACACGTTATTTCCCCTCCCCTCGTTACAAGTATATACGCTTGTTTGTTATTTTAGTGTGTTTCCCCCTCTTTTTTTCTCTTCATTGTCGTTAATATTCTTTTCGTTGATTAATTATCCAACGATTGTCTCCTGATGAGATATTGGTTGAAAGGCCTTAGCGACTTTTAAAATTAAAATCAATACATTCCTCGTTTTTAAAACTATATATATATATATATATATATATATATATATATATATATTTTCCATTCAGTTGCGAAACCAGAATAATATATATTATTAGTGCAAAACTCCCAAGAAAATTAAATTTCGGCATTATATGACCCAGAAGAAGTTGATATGCCGCTAAACAACCAAACTATATTTTAGCGAGTGATACCGATGAATCCTGGAGAAATACTTCTATTGACGTCGCCAAACAAAAAAAAAATTGAAAGACATCCAACAACTGACAGAAAATAACCAAGTTGTTCTTGAATACGGATTTTAAATAAAGCTGTGGGCGTAAAACAAATTACCGCGCAAAACAAAAAAAAAAAAAAAAAAAAAAAAAAAAAAAACAAGATTGACACAGAAAGAGAAGGAAATCGGGCTCAATATAAAAGTCAGGTAACCATTAGTTTGGCCCAAAATATATAAGCGTGGCCTGTCATAGAATATAAGATATTTACACAAACATTTAAAATAAACACAACTACAGAGAATTTGGAAGAATAAAAATGAAAGTTTTATTCTTGATTGATTGCTATTACGGCTTTTCTAGGTTATACAATGGTTGGCGGGAATAGAGGTGGAGTCATACAAAGTCATGACTCCATTTCCAAACCTAGTTTCGCACGAGAGAACATAACGAACCCGATTCCTATTGGAACATGGCTTTAAGATTTCTAACTCCTAGCCGTTATCCATTATGCCAGAAGCACATACAAGCTCACGGTATCTGGTATTCCCACGCGGTCAGACATCCAGGTACTGACCAGGCTTGGCGTTTCTTAACTTTGATGATCTCAAGGGAACTAGTGTTTCAGTGATATATGGCCGTAAGCTCTTTTTATTCTTTACCAAGTAAGCACACAGAAAAAATGTCCAGAAATGCGTAACATGGCTTCCCTCCGTTACCGAAATGGAAGCTGGTAGATATTGCAAAAGCAGTCTTTACTCACAAGTCCAGCATGCTATGTTGCATGTTACTATGTTTTACTGACGTGGCAAGGGAAGCGTATTTTTTTACGGGGTTCCACTAAAAATAGTCTTCGTGCAGCGAACGTTTCACTATTTCTTTTAATAACCACACCCCAAGTAAGGCAATAAAGCCACTAAGACGCAGGAGTTACAGGAAGTCAAAGAGAATTAGAAGACATTATTGAGAAGTGAGGGGTAAGGACGATAAAGGAGAAAGAATATGATTTTGAAAGACAGGCATGGCGTTTGACGTTGCATTCAAATTCGTGAAGATTGTAGCAATGAAAGTAAAGAAGCTGTTGGTATAGAGCAGTCTTTGCATCTAGCTCGTTTAACAGTGAAACCTAATGGACAATCTAGTAGCACGCGTAAATTCACGCAGTTGAGGTACTAAGTTGAACAGCTCATTAGAACAATTGCCATGGAAGTATTTGTAGAATGTAGAGAGAAGCTACTTCCCATCGTTAGAAAGTGACTTAAGTTGAGATTCCAGGTCAGGTTCTAGTAAATTACAAACATTTGAATTTTGTTAATAATCTTGTTTTATAAGGACACTATACCAGCTGTGGTAGCAGTATTCAATGCTCGGGCGAATGGTAGATTTCCAGATGTGAAAGACCGATTCTGTCGAGAAAAACACGTCTAGCATGACACAGTAAATCAATTCTCCTAGCAGTAGATCTAAACATTGATTCAATATAATCACTTCACTTCATGTCAGTGACAAACGTGAGTCCAAGAAGGACAAAATAATTGCTCTCCTGGAGGTTACCATCAGCAATTCTGATGAAAGGCAGAAAATTTTCTCTGTGGTGATTAAATGAAAGAATTTTTTTCTTTATTTTGGAGGCGTTAAAATTTACAAACTATCACTTGCCTCAGTTAATCAGTGGTTGGACGTCTTTTTCGAGAGCAGCTGACAGTTTTATTTAGACGAGTCTGTCGAACTTTATACTAAGATAAGAGTAAACGGTTGCGTCATTTGCATAAATGCCCCGTTGGGAACTAATCACATCGGTTGATGACGGTAAGAAACATTTTAGATCCTATGATAACGTTCAGAGCGCCCCCTGCATTAATATTTAAACATCTAGAAATGTTTCCGTTCAAAACGACCATTTTTACACAAATTGTTAAGAGCCAATCGATTATGCCAAATATTTGTCCAGAGACACTGTAGCTTGTAGAGAAGGCTAATATGCCAAACACTATTGATATATCTTGAAACACACCCGGAGCTTCACCGTCCTTATCGAAAGCTAAATTTACAAATTCATTGATAACCGTTACCACCAGGAGAAACTGAGGCCACATTGTCTATCCTAAAAGAATTCGTAGGAAGTGAGCTTCTTAAATCATCTTTATTGTCATTTATTAACCACGTTTAAGCCGGGGTACGCTCCGAACTTCTTCAGTTCAAATTTCCAGTCACCTTCTTCTTTTTTTTTTATTTCATTCCCCGCCCAAGCAAGGTAATAAAGCCACTAAGACACAAGAGGTTACTGAGTGTGAACGAGCAAATACAACAAAAAACAGGAACTAAGAAGACAGAAAATAACGATTGACATTGCATTTAAATCTTTGGAGATCAAAGTTATTTGTGTTTTGACTTCTGCAGATATGGGTGTCTGTCTCAAATCCACAGTAATTTGAACCACAGTCAGGTTCAATCTCTCTACCAGTTTGCGATACAAGAGCGTAAAACATTGTCCTACGAGCTTCAGCATGTTAAAATTGCGGGAGAAGTTTCTTTCCCGCTTAACGGTCGTATCAGATTACGACGGACGATGAAAGGGAACCAGATTGAGAAGTGGCCAACAGGAGACGTCCTTTTCTTTAAAGCATTGTTACCATTCTGTGGAAATCATTTTATTGCTACTGGCTGCAAAGCAAAACAAAACGTAGAGGTACGTAAGTAGACACCTGCAATGCAACGTAACGAAATCAATTCTAATTACGTTACCCTTTTGAAATTCAATCCGCGCACGGAGAGACCTAAGTGTATGCACCGAAGCAACAATGTCTACCAAATGTAATTAAGGAAATTGGCATGAATTTTACGCGAAGGGCACGAAATAACAACAAAATCAACGTACATGATGGCGGACCTCTCACGCTCTTTGTCCTTTTTTTTAACGAAAAAAGAATCTCTTTTCAGCGTTCCAGCTAATAAATGAGTCACTTGAAACAGTGTGCTTGAAAAAAAAGAAATGGGTTTGAATTATTTGAAGTGAAAATGAAGGCAAAGGGAATTTGAAAAATTCGATGACAGAAGAGACAAAAAAAAAAGTTTAAATATATAGCGGCGTTATTTTCGTTAAAGAAAATTATTTATGTGTTTTTTTTTTCTTTTCTAGACTTTATTTGATGAAAATTCAAAAGGGAAATAAAGTAAATTAGCACGGCAAGAGATCTATCAAAGTATATCAGTACTTTTACCCACATGACAATAATAAGATGAAATCTAGAATAATTATTTTTTTTTGTTTTTTTTTATTTACGAGCCCATAGAAATTGCAACCCCGAACACTTACCTGATGAAGAAAAATACATTGAAAATCCGCCTCACTCCCACTTACGATCCTATTATTTGTTTAATCCACAAAACAAAATGTGCACAAAATGCACAAAAAAAAAAAAAAATTCAAATAAAACAAGAAATAAAATTGCATTACGTACAAACACCATAAGTAGTTTTATACTTACTCTATAGTATAAATATCATCATTTTCTTGTATTTACCGTACCGCTTTAACACGTGAGCGATCACTGCTCCCCACAACATCTTAGTCTTTGTGACACTTAGCAGCGGTCCTGGGTATGAAGATAAACTACATCCGTGTCCTGGGTAAGACGATAAACTACATCTAAGGCCTTTGATCAGGAGGCTTTGAGGAGAATGGAACCACCTCTTAATTGCTAGTGTTCCCAGGTCCACCTTGACCCATAGTGTTTAATTCCAGAAATACTTTTTTAAAATAAATAATTCGAGCAGCAATAAATTTTTGTAAAAAATATAGCTGCGATACATTTTTGAAAAAAAAAAAAAGATATTAACATTAATACATTTTTGAAATATATATATATATATATATATATATATATATATATATATATATATATAGCTAATATTAGTGGTAAATATACACATACATATGCAAAATATATTTTTTGAATAAAAAATTTCAAGAGCCTAGAATCCAGGTAGAACTCTATGTCCAGGACAGAGTAAGGATATAATAAAAAGGCTTAAACACTAATATTCCATGGTCATAATTTATTCCATTGGAATCGTAAATACGATCCAATTCATCAGACCTAAAAATTAAAAAAGAAAACTGAAAAAACAACTCCGGAAATAAAAATAGAATTTAGAGAGAGTGTAAGTATGAGACTGTGGGACGAATGTTAGAGTTAAAGAGAGGGGTAACAGACGAGAGAAGGTGGGAGATTAGACCTTAACAGAGAGAAGTTTTAGAGAGATGAGTGGAAGAGGTGGAAGTGAGAGAAACATGAATGTTGTCGGATGTCTAATATATTAAAGATACATTTCGTGGTGACATACACACACCATAGACGACCATGGAATATTAGTGTTTAAGCCATTTTATTATATATATATATATATATATATATATATAGATATATATATATAGATATATTACCAGCAATAAAAAATTTGTCGGCATTAAATAACCCATAACAGCGTTTCTCTCCGTGTCAAGTACCTTGCAACAACCTTTCTGCCACTGATTCAACACAACATCGACAAATAGGTGGCTATCTGCCTTCTATAACTCTTGTTTTAGATATGCCCTGTGATGGTTTAGTTTTCCAAGTCTTCTTTTTATGCTTCCAATGCATTCCAGCAAACTCTTTTTGATTTTGCGTATCAGTGTTTTCGCGATTTGTTGTTTGTGTGTGTGTGTGTGTGTGTGTGTGTGTTGTGGTGTGGGAAGGCTGTTCTTTATGCATTGTATGTTTATGAAGTATATACGATATTGCAGGAATTAAAAGTATTTTCATTGCGTTTGTCTGCTTCAGATAGATATTCGGGTCCTCATATTCAACACAATTGATCCGAAAAGCAATCGATTTCGCGTACCTACATTCTATCTATATTTCTCTGCAGCTCTTGGTTACGTAGTAGGGGAAACTGGGCTCTTCAACCTTGGAAGGGAACCTGTCTGACGGAAGGACAGTATTGAATTTAAAAACTTGCGACTGAAATTATCCTGATTCATCTTGAACATGCCTGTCATTGGATACTGTTAGTTGGTTCATCAGAGAGTTGTATTCATAATGTACAAGTGTTTGTCCGTAAATCAGTCCGAGTTATAAGTATTTAATTACATGTAACAATTTGATCATGACTGTAATATCGCGTAGACAATAATCACACACACACACACACACACACACACACTGACATACAAGCAAAATAAAAAAAAAACATTTAAGAACAGAAGCACGAGAAAAGCTTAAAATACAACATTTAGAAATAAAACGAGTTTAAATGCAATACTTTAAATAAAACTACATGTACAATAAAAGATCCTGTAAAAATATATAAAAGAACATGCACAATAAAAGATACTGTAAAAGTACAATGTTTTAAATCCACTTAAAATAAAAGAAAATTTAAAAATAAAAGCACTTAGAATACAAGGGCATGTAAAATACAAGGACTTAAAATGAAAAAATAAAGAATAAATACATTTAAAATAGAAGTACTTAAAAACACAGACGGAAAATACAGAAATAAGTAAAAATACAACTTAAAATAAAAAAAATCCAAGAATATTTACAATAAAAACAATTAAAATAAAAGAAGATATTCAAATCATGCGTGCGAACCTTAA